TCGAGGATATTGCTGTGACCACAAAGCAGCAGGCAAAGTTTTCTGTTGGGATCAGAGGGAGGAGTAATCCTGGCCGGTAGAGGATGGCTGTGCCGGCTACATCGTACATCAGTGAGCTTGAGGCGTAGGCCGTGACGCTGGTGGAACCGTTCTGTGCCAAAAGTACCCTCGTCTGTCCCTCAGCATCCTGGGTCAGAAATGGAGGGACCAAGTACTTCAGCATACTGCCTGAGGCTGGCGGCAGAATGGTGTACAGCAGCCCGCAGCTGCAGCTGCCCTGGACGATGCAGGGGTGGCCAAAGAGGACGGCCACTGGCTTTTCAGCCGTCACGTTTTTAAACCCTGCACTCTCATTCAACCAGATCTGAGCAACCTGGCCTGACTGGAGGGAAACTTCCTGCGTCTTTAATCCTGCGACGCTCACGCTGTTTTGCTGCTTAACACCGTTGACGATGATGATTCTGAACGGGCCTCGCTCCGTCACCGTCTGCACAACTGAGTCCTGAAAATTATTTGTGCCGGGAATTGTGGGTATTGGTGGGATGAGGTACGTTGTGCCGAGTTTGTTTGTAGGTATGACGACAGCAGTCTGCACACTGTCTTCTTTACTGCTGATGGCTTGAACGGTGATATCATTGTTGCTGTCAATGGTCAGAGTTTTGTTGGAGATGTTTTGCTTCCCGAGTTCCAGCGCTGCATTCGCGTTGAAATACCAATCTTCTCCAGCGTTCAGGTCCTTAGGCTCAGAATTGCTGTACTGACGAACGTGGACTTTTGTCCCGTTTTTCAAAGCAGTGATTATGACCCAGTTTCTGGCTGGGCTGGGGTAGTAGCTGGCGATGTTCTCCGGAAACACAACGATAAATTTCTGGCCAATGGTGTCGTAAGGCACAGGGCCCGTGGACTCTGGTGAAAGAAAACACAGTAGCTGTTTAATGAGGAAGAAACAGAACCGTCTTTGTCCTTCTTTCTACCACATTTTCAGGAATTCTGGTGAAAATTATTCCAAATTAAAAGAAAATTCTGGATGATTTTACTCTGAAAATCAAAAATCCTGCCTGATTTAAATTTGGCTTGATCTATCCCAGCATCCTCCTCTGTAACACCAACCCTCTGCATCACCTCTTTCCTCCTGCCTGCAGCTCCATCTTTATCCTCCACCCTCAAACCATCTCGTCCCTCTGACTCATTTCTGATCCCGTCCTTCCCGCTCATGAACATCGAGCCCCGTGTCTTTGTCATCGTGCTACGACGTTTGTCTCCATGCATCACAGCAGGTCTCACTGACTCACAGAATAAACTGTGCAGGTGATC